GCCCTTCTGTCACCGCATATGTTGACTTTTGGACAGATTAGGTGGTTTGTCCTGTAGAGTGTTCACCTTCTGGATTTGTCTGATTGTTTCCTGGTGGTGTCATTTAACTCAGCCCTCTACTCCCCACCACCCATATTTTTGTGAGAACTAAAGGCCTGCTTAGAGCTGGGCAGAGCTTGTTGCTTCACCCTCACGGATGCAGGTGTGCTGTGCCCCTTACCTTGTTACCTGCTGGAATACACTTCCTGTCTGCGTCCCTAACACGATGCTAACTAAGGCTGGTCACTGGGCCAGGCAGACCCCTCGTGTCACCACTGGGTGTCTGATCACATCTAAGCTTGTAGTCAGCAACTCTAGCTGAAATTGGCACCGAGCACTGGCAGAGTGGCAGCCAGTTGTGGCTGGCGTGGGCTGTCTGCCTGGTTGGGAGCTTCAAGGACAGTGCCTGACGTAGGCCTGCCCTCACCAGGCACAGGCCCCTGCTCTGTGCAAGGGGTCTTCTTGGACTCTCGGCAGCTGCACAAGGCTGCTGAGTGGGACTCAGGAAGGGCATCAGAACCTGGGAGGGCTCCGCCCCGCCCACACCTGACCTGCAAGGTTCCTTGGTTCCCAGTGGTTCAGACAACAGATGGCGCTAGTGTGCTTTTTTGCCAGTTCATAGTAATTTTAATTTTTTATGAGTGTATTATTTGTTTGAGCTGTTATTTGGCAAACTGGTTAGCCTCCCTCTGTGCTTCAAAATTGTTGTATAAATAGTGACTGCATAGCCTGTGTCTGTTCTTTCTGCTTGTGTGAATTTGAAGTTTAGTAAAAAACAATCAGAACTTGAAAAAGATAAAACGCGAGGTGTCACTGGTGTCCTTGAACTACAGATAGAGATAGTACATTTGTAATTTATTTATTGTGCTAGTGCATTTTGTAGAGTGTAGGAAACATTTGACACTTTCAAATAAAATAGAACTTAAAATCATTGGGGTGTTTTCTTCTGGAATTGATCATCTGTGGCTGAGAAGCTGATGTTTATGTTCAGACTTGTTCGTTTAGAACTTAGTATTTCATGCTGCGTCCTCGGCTGCCTCTGGAAGGCGTCCTCAGTAACTAACGAATCAGAGTGTGTACGTCTGCATTGTTTTTGAAGGTTAAAACAGTTTCCTTAGAAAACTCACCTATTTATGTGCTTCCATCACAGAAAACAAAGCAGCTCTTGGTAGTTAATAGCAGGTTGGTATAGGCTATTCCTTCGAATACTTTTGAGAAACTGTAAGATGTGTTTCAGGAAAGGGAACATTTGTCTAGTTTTGTTTTGTCTCCCAGTTTTGTTTCAGACAGTGGGGGTTCTAGTGATGGGTTGCTTTCCAGCCCAGGGTCCCGCCACAGTTCAGAATCTCCTCCAGCACCTCCCTGCTGCCCTTTATTTTCAGCAGGAAAAACATTTCTCAGATACTTGGTCTTTTTTCCTAATTTTATAAACATTGGCATGTGAGTCAGTAATGTTAGGTAGGTTCTGGGAGCTTTTGGGCCTGGGCCTGTGCACCACGCCAAAATACGTTTCGTTCTGCCTCCCTGAGATCACTTGTTTGCAGCTTCTCGACTCCAGGCCTGGTGGTGGGGGGAGGCACCTCTAGAATGGAAGTGGAGGCCAGGCCCCTCCTGGGCTGAGCATTCAAACAGAAAGTACCTGTGGAAGGCCTCATGCGTCCGGCCCCTGCAGTGAGCGTGTTCGTGCGCACAAGGCAGACTGGGGATGGCGGCAGACCGTGGGTCTGAGAGCGCCCCTCACCTGTGTTGGCATGTGGTTCTGCACAGTAACCCGGGTCGTGCAGCTTTGGCTCGCATCAGGGCGGAGGGAGTATGGCTGGAAGGGACTTTGCCACTGGGTTGGGGACAGCCTTCAGGCAAGAGGAGGCAGATGAGCCAGCCACCAGGAACCTCGGAAGCACAGAGGGCCAGCTGGGGGGGTGGCGGGGACGGGACAGGAGCGTCAGGGCCCACTCCTGCCAGGTGCGTGGCCATGTGGGATGTTTAGCAGAAAGAAGCTAATGTTTTCAGGAGACTCAGTCACGGGGACCGGAACAGCCATGTGCACGTGCTCACGCCTTGGTGTCATCCAGAACCACATTTTCCAGGCCCCCCTAACTGCTGCCCCTCAAGCTCCTCGGGCCCCAGTGGGTACTAGGCTTGTCCTCTGCTGTGTCCCTCTGTGGGGTCCTGTGGGGCCTCCTGGTTCCTGTGGGCCCTGGGGCATCGTTCCCATGGTTCCCCACTGGGGTGGTCCATAGTCAGTGGAGAGTCCGAAGTCCTGTGATGGGCAGACCGCGGGTCTGAGAGCGCCCCTCACCCGTGTTGGCATGTGGTTCCGCACAGTGACCCGGGTCGTGCAGCTCTGGCTCGTCTGCAGATGTGTTCAAGCACTTTAAGAATGTAACAGAAAAGGGCGGTCCACCTGTGGGTCGAAACTACCCACCCTGCAGGTCCTTCTCCAGGGACCTGGGGCTGTCTCCAAAGCAGCACTTGAAGTAACATGATCTGGATACAAGTGCAGAGGTCGGCCTGTGCAGAGGAGGTTGAGAAGATTTCTTCTCTTTAGGAGCCAATGGAAGGGTCTTTACTGACCGCCGTAAGGCTGGTGCGGTCTCATGGAGCCCTGGCAGCGCTGGGGTCCTGCCGCGCTCACCGCTGGCCCGGACCTGCACACCCTCGGGCAGCCTCCGGCCTCCGCTCCGTGGCGTTTGTCCGGCCTGCCTCCTTCACTGTCTCCTCCCCTCTCCCTGGCGTAATGTTTTGTGAGTCAGCTTTTTTTGTTCTTTGCTTTTCGACCTTTGAAAATAAGACAGTGACAGTAGGAAACTAGAGAAGAGCCTACGGAGAAACGGCCGTTCCCGTGGCGTCCGCGTTGCTCACCACAGGTTTCCCTGAGGCTCTCTTGCTCGTTTGTACCCTGAGGTCCCCCAGCACAAGAGTGAATTTCTGACGCTCGTTTTCTCTCTCTTTAGGCGACGGCCCCAGTGATACAGGTAAGGGCTGGCCCCCAGCGAGTGTCGGTGTGACCTGTGCACACGTGTGCCGACACGGACATGCTCAGATTCATGTCTCAGACGTGTCGGTGAAACCTGTCCTAACCACACCAACTTAAGATTTAATGTGCATGTTTTATGTGTCAAAAAATACACTTCAGGATTTCTTTCTAAAGCATAAAGTGTTTCTTCAGTATTCAAATTCTGATGGATTGTCACTGTTCCTAAAGTATAAAGCCCTTTTACTTTAAACAGTGGGGTCAGCTTACTTGTTGTCTTAGTAGTCTGGACTTGTTAGTTACTGACTAAATCTTTTTACCAAAGCGAAGGAGACTTTGTTCAGAGTATAGGCATAATATGGCACATACCCAAAGTAGAAAATTTTTTAAATGCAGAAAAACATGAAGAAGAAAACGGAAAGCTCAGGGAGACGTCCTAGAGCCCCGTGTGTGGGCCTGTGGGTGTTAGCGGTAGCCCTGTCCTCTGTTAGCTACATGGTTACACAGGAGGGCCTTGCGTGTGGCGATGCCATTCACCAGAGTGCCTGTCGCTGGTCACTCCTGATGGGAGCCTCCTGGCACATGTCCCGGGCCTTCCCCAGAGCTAGATACCGAGGGCCTGTCTTCGTTGAATGATGGATGAGAAGCCCATTTATACTCGCAGTTCCTTAGTTACTGTCTTCCCCATGTGTGTCCTCAGTTNTTCTGAGGACATATTTGTACAAAGAAGGCAAAACCATGTCTTTTATTTAGTTGTCCTGTACCTGGGTGGTAACCACCTACATGTAGACCGTTTTAGAGATTATGGGGAACTCATGATTACGGCTAAATCACATCATGTTTTGATTACTGGTAGATGTTATTTTCGTACCTTAGAATTGATGAAAAAATGAGATTAAAAGATGGGTTCTCTGAGGTTAGGGGCATGTCCTTTATATTCTGCAGGAATGTGTAGCCTAGCAGGTGGGCGGTGGCTGGAGTCAGTGCTGACTGACCTGGGTTTTTGTCCACTTTGAGACACGGGATTGTTTACACCCTGTTTGGGTTGCACTGTCTGTGTTTAGGAGGGTTCCTCGGCCTGGGAGTGCCCGGCCAGCGCCGCCCAGGGTGAAGCGACAAGACAGCGCGGAGGTGTTGACTGCGGACAGGTGAGGCGCGCCCTAACGGGAGGACCAGGGGCCTCTCCTGGTGTGCGGGACTGGGGCTGGGGACTGAGGGTGAATGGGGATCCGGCATGAACTGGGGGTAGGGGGAGCTGATGGGGCCCCGAAAACTTGCTGTTGAGGAAAAAGAAAGACCAGGTTAGACCCTCCCCTGAAACCACACACGGCCTCACATTTCAGATCAGTGAGAGAGACTCGGACACTCACCCATGTACAGTTAAACCTGTAAAATGCGTGGGGAGATGTCGGGGTGCGTTTCTGTGACTTCTGGATGGAGGATTTCTGAGCATAAAAATGAGGAAAAAAGATTTCAAGGCTTAGTTGCGTGTAAATTAAAAACCAAAGGTTGTGAGCAGGTCATAACCCGTGTGAAGACAGTCCCACCCGGGCTGTTGTGAGTTCACACCTGCCTGTGGACGCCGTGGGAGACACACGGTGCAGGAGTCCACAGGCTGGTCGGGTTCAGATGGAACCGGAGGTCGGACTTGGAGACGTGGGTGTAGACAGTGACTTGGGTTTTGTTGCAAACAGACAAAGCAGCAAAGGGGTGGGTGGTGAGGGCGGGAAGGAGGGCAGGCCCGGGAAGTTGCTGGACGAGCGAGCGTGTTTCTGGGTGACAAGGTGAGTGGTGGGGCCCGCACGGTGACACGGAGAGGCAGGCTGGGGTGCTGGAGCAGAGCCCGAGTGGGCGGGGGACGTGGGAGCGAGCTCTCTGCCGCTGCGTTCTCCTCGCTTCCCATTCCCCAGGAGGAGCTGGGAGGGCATGAAGCGGCCTCCACGCGAGGGGGCTGGCGGGGAGGGTCTCCTCTAGGGGCCACCCCACTCCCGGGATGTTACGGGCGTTGGGGCCGTGTCTGGAGATGTTTATAGCGGCATCATGACGGGGGAGGACGGGGGAAGTTCTTGTCATCCAGTTGGGGTTTTGGGACCAGGGATAGTGCTAAGCCCCCCNGGGCCTGTCTTCGTTGAATGATGGATGAGAAGCCCATTTATACTCGCAGTTCCTTAGTTACTGTCTTCCCCATGTGTGTCCTCAGTTTGTGTTCCTTCCTTTGCAAACTGCTGACTGGGTGCTATCCCCACAGAAGGAGAGGTGGGGCCTGTCGGCCAGGAGAAGTCACAGGTGCCCGAGAATGGCCCCGAGGTCCCCGCTGAGCTCCCGTCCGGCGC